TTTGTTTTCCACTGTAATTCTGAATGTCATGTTTTTGTATAATAATCTCAAAATTAAACTTGAAGCCTGATATAAACTACGGCAATCATATTTTGACATACTTTCATGATTTTTTTTTTATTATTGATTTTTTTTCAATATTTTATGACTTCTCTAGGTTACACCTATACCTGTTAATTTCATGTTGTTTTTGTTCCCAGACTCACGGCTTTGGTCAACACTGCGCTCAGCTTAAGCAAATTAAATTCCCTTTCATTGCATTTCTTCAGGCTCACGCTGCTAAAGGCATTTACAAAATTTGAATGGCTGGAATAACATACATATTTGTGTTGTAAATATAATTTAATTCTGAAATATTCATAGAATCAATATAATACACAGAAACAAGCTGATGTTTCCAGTGTTTGTTAGATGTAGTTTTAGCAATAGCAACTTCATGAAGCTTGAATTTTAATTTATTTTATCCTTGCGTATGATGCGTTCAGAATATTAAAATTGACTTGATGCTGAAATTTTGCTCATATGTGCTTGTTAAACCATCACACCACCTGGCCTGTCCTTTCATACCTGTCAGATAAAAGCAGTATCAGAAATGATGTTATGAAGAATCCCAGTGGATAGATAGCCTTTTCTCCGCTGATATTATTAATGAGCTGGCAATCAATGCTTGTCAGGGCTCCCCTTCCAGGAGGTTGGGTAGGGCAGGGGGGTGAGAGTCCTCAAGTGACTCCCTCAAAGTCCTGATATGTCAATCCTGTTTACTCTGTGAACAAGCCCCTAAATGTGCCCATTCTCAGCAGTTATAAGAAAGAATGGGCAGGGGACCTAAACAGCAGCTAAAGACTCGTTTGCTGCTTCTGCTGCTTTGTGTTGAGGTTACAAAGCTGAAGTTGCTGCCATCAACTTTGGTGCCAGGTTAATGGAAAAGGGACTCAGTTAAACTAATTTCTTGAAGCTCTACCACTTCTATTATCTCTTGTTTTGATTATTCTTATCGGTGACAGAGTCAAGGTAATAGAGTCAAGGTAATAGAGTCAAGGTGATAGTCAGAGCTCTGTGAACATGATGAGAGACACCTGCTCCTTCATGCTTCAAGGTGACTCAGCTCTACTCTGGATGAAGCAAAGGCATGGTCGTCTCAATCAGAGTGAGTAATAGCTTGTAAAGAGACTCACTGAAATGTCAACATATCACATGTGTGGCGGAGGTTCTCACTTTGTTCTTACACCTTCTCACAGACACACAAGCAAACCTCCATCCATCTTCTACCCAGATCTACTTCTCAGGCTCCTTCCATACATTCCTTCCATAATTCCAGAGTAGTCTCAGGTCAACCAGAATTTTTCTCAGAACACTGAGAAAAACTGAATAACAAAGAACAAATAATTGAACTTGAAAGTAATTTGCGTGTGAGTTGGGTTTTTAGATGCAAATAATGTTTTAATTATAAGTACTTCACTGGACTTCGTCATCTAGAATCCATGAGGATTATTATTATTACCGAAATGTCGTACATGACGGATTTTGAGGCAGTCCAATAGGAGCGTGTGGACGATACCTCTCCACGACTCTGACATCTACACTGGGATAGAGCAGTGAGGAGCTCACTTTCTCACTCATCAGTCACCATTTGGTTCAGACCCCAAATTCACTGAGGGGATACCGCAAAGTTCCTTTTTTTCGACGTGGTTCCATCTCACCGACGTTTTACTAGTCATGAGCATTGTTGAATAATCCATGACTTGTCCTCCTCTTTCTTTTCCAGAACTGTGCGCCTGTTATATGCTGCAAATTTTAAAAGTTTGGAAATCTGGAAGGTTCCTAAAGTAAGACCCCGTTTCAAAGTTTCCCAGCTATTTTACTGGATGATTTTTTTATGGCATTCTGTCTGGTCTTGTTGACTCCCAGCTTGTTTAAAACGTGTGCTTTTGACATGTAAACATGCAGGAACTTGGCGGGCAAAGTTATAGACCCAAGTCGATATAATACAATAAAGTCAGACCACAGCCAGGCTGAGAGGCATGATGAACGATGAGTCCTTTTGTGGAGTATGGAGGAAGATTCTAAAAGTTGTACAGTGAATACTGGAAAAGACATTTTATTTGCAATTCTGCATGTAATGAATCATGCAGAGGTCCGGTTGTGGAGTGATCTATAGTGATTTATTTTACCAAAAACAAAGACAGAATCCAAACTTAGGATCATTAAACAGGAAAGTCACCAGTAATCAAACCAGAACGGAACCCTGATGCTGTCCTTCAGAGCTGAACGTGGCTGTTTGTTTAGAAACTGGTTTGTTTCACATTTTCATGCACTACTTGAGCCGAATCAAAAGAAAATCACCAGGATTGTGCTCCTGCATTTTCATGAGGGGATAGTAAGACCGGTTCTGAGCACGGTGACTCGGCACATGGCAGGATAAATTACTCACGCGGGGGGGGAGATCAGAGGGTCCGGGCAATGGAGAACTCTCAGAACCTCCTCATTAATTAAAATAATCAAGAAAGGCTGGCCTGGAGTTTCTGGCCAGGATGCTTTGATATAAGAAGATTCAAAGGGATGGACCAAAGAGAGCATATGTCAATCTGAACACCAGCACACAGATCCTCAGTACTCTGGGTTCACTAGAACCATTAATTGAACCTCGCATTTGCATGAGGCCTGTTGGCCACAAACAGTCGCTACACTAAATATTAAACAGGCGCATTGCTTATTCAGAAGATGCTGATGCAGCATGTTCCGCTGAGCAGCTACTGTAGCTATGATCTTCTGGCTCTACTTGCTAGCTTACGTTAATGTTAATCCCAACCATGAAGGGCCCATATCCCGGCACCACCATGAAGAGAGAGAAAATGATAAATAGGAAGTCTCTAACGGGAAGTTTGCCAACAATGAGCAGTTTTTCGCCCAGCAATGAAATGCCTGAGGAGGATGCAGCACATTTTGCAAACACAGGAGCCCCAAAGTGACTATTTGATTGGGGCCCCTGAAAGGACAATGCCGCCTCTGATTAAAACTATAGGACCGTAAGCTTTAGAAAAAATTTAACTTGATTTTTTTTAATGTGGACCATTCATAAACCCCCATGGTGGTGCACAAGGGTCGTCCGTCTACGAATTCATGCATGAAGCTGGAACGGGTCTGTGAAAGCTGACCTGTGATTCGTTGAGTGTTCACGGGTCAAGTACAATAGAAACAAAAAAAAATAATGCGTAAAGTGAACATGAGGACGTTTATCGATATTAATCGCGTTGGCTTTGTTTTGACATGGAGCGATGGCAGTGCCGGATTTGGACTGCATCCACACAGATAAGAAACAAAAGACAATGCCCTCAGAAAGCAGAATATATTGTGTGGAATAATGTGAACGTCGGTGTTGGGAGTCAGGTATGACGATGGAATTCTGATGAGGGGCGCAAAGTCGAATCAAAGGCTTTAGGCTGGAAACTGTATAAAGTCGATATGCTTTGAAGCGATTAGCCTTGGAAGCGGGCGCCAGGCGTTCCACGGCATATAATGATTTTCAGATTCATGTGGTTCATCTGTGGAGGTTCCAAACAAACCCATTTAAATATTTGGCACCTGTGTTCAGCCTTTTCGCCATAAGAGATCATACCATTTCCTGTACAAAGGATACTTGGGAAATCGAGCATACACCATGGGGGGGAGAGATTCACCATTTCTTATCAGCATTCTATAGGAAATGGGGTTTAAAGAAACGCAGCAAAATCCAGCTGAATGATCCATAAGAAATTACCGTTCCTTATGAGAATACTATCAGAAATACTGGTTACAGGCCCAGTAAAATTAACAGGACCCATCCGATCTCTCTGGGCTGGACTTCAAAATCATTAAGAAAAAATTGCTCATTTATAATAATCCCTAACTATGACAGCCACGTCCTAAGATACTGCATAAATCAATGCGTCATATAAATTAACAGATGAAGTAGCATAACACCAATAAGGCTATTAATTATGACTAAGTAATAACACGGTAGTTAAGTAGCGTAATGACTATTGGCTTGTTATTTCACTGTCCTAATAGTGCAAATAGATGGTTTTGAGAAGCAACAGAGGCCATCTCAGGACACGATCCCTTATCGATACGGCTGATATAATGACCTGCTGCTGACTGAGGGAGCTTGAAAGCCACAGTCCACTTTAACGCCAAAGCCGAGTTAAACCCGCAGCACGGGATCCAAGGGGCACAATTATCCCAAGAGCTTTTCAAAGCCCCAAGATTAATTTCATTACTGTGCTTAAAGACAGCTGGAAGCCACATGAAATGCTTGCCATTCTTGCACTTTGTTACAGGTAGTCCATGAAAGATCAGTGCAGAAAAGGTCTGCATGAGTTTAATACACATTGCACCCATGTCATGGATTACATTACACACTTAAAGCCTGTTACGGTTTACATTACACACTTAAAGCCTGTTATGGTTTACATTACACACTTAAAGCCTGTTACGGTTTACATTACACACTTAAAGCCTGTTATGGTTTACATTACACACTTAAAGCCTGTTACGGTTTACATTACACACTTAAAGCCTGTTATGGTTTACATTACATATTTAAGCGATATTAATTCTCATTTGTTTCAGAAACTTGTTTTTAAGATATTTCATTTCATATAAATACAAGCACTTCGCAAAATACATGTACAGTGTGTTTGATGAATGAAACTTGAAACCTGAATCTGAAACTTGATATATAAAACAGAACATTTTTTGAAGGATGAAGCATTATTATAAGATAAAGAGTTGCTGTAGATTTAAGTCTTAGGTTAAAAAAAAAAAGTGACCCAAACCTGTCGGCTTTATGCACCTTGGTGACTGATTTCCCAGTGACTTTCCAGTCTGCAGCACAGAGCTCAGCTGGTAAAGATGATGTAATGAAGCACGCTCTCCCGCTCTGTCACTAACTCATTTTACTCTGCTGTCCCAGTAATCGTACACGGTTCTGCACGGACGGACTCACACAAAGAGACTCTTACCGTCTTTGGGTTCCCTCTGAGGAATCGCTCCCAGTTTAATCCAGACCGTCAAGGTTGGAGGCAGTGAAAGTATCCCAGGACTGAACCTCAGACTTGGTAACGCAGACTATCACGCCTGCTTGTTTCTCGCTCTCTCTCCTCCGTCTCTCTCTCTCTCCCTCTCTATTGCTTCTGTTTTACCTCGCTGTCTCCTCTCTCCACCCCTCCCCTCCAGAAAAAGTGTGTGCTCCTGCACGGAGACATTAAAGCAGGCGAGGAAGAGCCAGAATGCGGTCTAAAGTCTCCCTGAGGCTCAGGACCAGTCAGGAGCCGGTGTTGTCTGGCTAGCTGGTCAGCTGCCTGCATCGTTTACACACCCTTAGGCACATTTCGAGCCAAACGGCCAGTGGATGGTGTCCAAAGCAGCCACATGCCCCCCCCCCCACTCCCAACCACCAGATCAGTGCAGGGTTTTGTGGGATGTCTCTGGGAGTCTTTAATCAGAGAGACAGGGCCACTTGGGAATCTGCCGCTTTCTAGGACAACTTCTCCAGAGATGCTGAGGTGGATACAGCCTGAAAGCATGTGTGTGTGTAGCAGGGTGTGTGTATCACAGTCTAATCTCCCCATAAGAAATAATGCAAATGAATTAAATCCGTTCCAGACCCCCAAATCATTGCCTATTTAAACTTATCTACCTTCCTAACTAATGATAAAAAGCATTAACAATCAATATAAAACTAATGCACACATGAAGAAGCACACATACATAAACAATAAACATGCAATAAATGACAATCCCACACTCTGAAGCGAGAGCACACACGTGCACCACCTTCAAGTCTCACTATAATTTCCTTTTTAAGTCCTACAGTTACTCTCATTACTTTCCTCTTTGGTTTGCTGCTATCACTGTTCACTTTCTTAGGGCTCATGATTACCGTATCACTAAATGTACTGTAGATAAAGCACAAAAACATTCATACTGAATACAGAAACACAGCTTCCTCACGTCGGACTCGGTCGAGAGGGACTGCGAGACTGAGAGCGATTCTTAGGCATTAGCATTGCAGTAGGTCCGTTTGCCTTTGTTTCAGCACAACAGAGATACGTCTTGATCCGTACAAGTTTCAGCAGGTCTGTTTTGTTTTGCTGTGTTCTGAGTTTTCGGTCGAATTGCGGCTAGGTTTTTCTCCACCAACCCGTCCGAGGTCCGAATTGGTAGAGTTGAACGTGTCTAAGTTCTAAGATTTCGGTTGAGGTACAAGTAAAAAAAAATTCAACAGACCCGTTTGATGTCCGAGTTAAGTAGAGTTTGAGTTCCAAGGTTGTACTGTATTTTGTTTGGTTACTTATGGTTAAGGTTAGAGTTGGGTAAGGGTTAGTGTTAACTTAGTTAGGATTAGGGTTATGCCCATAGTAATGAATGGAGAGTCCCCACAATGATCAGAACATAGGAAGTGTGTGTGTGCGTCCGTGGGTGTGTGTGTTAGTAGTGAGTAGCTGTGATATGAGGAGTGTTTACCTGGGTTTAGACTAATAAGGAAAGAGCTGTTGGAGACAGAAATAATATTTATGAATTTTCATATGAAGGCTTCTTCTACTGGCATATATAAAGGCCGAATTGTGTCAAATCTGTCATTCATTGTTGACATATAAAGTCCTTGTGAGAGGCTGACCTATTTCAGGAACCTATATATTACTCCTCATGGCGGTTGTTCTAAGTTGCTTCGTTTAGAGGCCGCCCGCCCCTGTCGGATCCGCAGATGACAACTTCAAGCCACGCGCTCGTTCGCTTTCCGAGAGGAAATGGGAAATGTGACCGTTAAAATGTCCATTATGTGCCAGCGGCTGACAGCCATCCATCATTAAAAGGGCCACTCGTATTTTCCACTGCATATCGGGTGCTTGTTCTTAGACAAGACCAATGGCTGCAGGTCAGGGATGTATGAATAAATCTTCCCATGTTCATGACTTTTTAGTAACTCTTTGCACACACAATTCGAAGGTTTAACCATAGTAATATGGGTTATGCACAAACTGCAATGAAAACATCAAACTGTCAAATAGGGAAGATTTAAGGAGAATAGAGAATACTATACTATAACATCAATGTAAACATTTACAAACCAAAGGTGTGAAGTTTTTCTGTTTTGTTTTTTTATTTTAGCACTTGAATAATGCAAACTTGATATTAAAAAGAGAGTATGTGGTGAGATTAGATGATTAAAGATCAGATACAATCCCTTCACCCATCTACTCTCTCATCTACTCATTCACTCACCATTCACTCACTTACTTGCCCACCCACCTACTCACTCATTCACTCACTTACTTGTCCACCCACCTACTTACTCATTCACTCACTTACTTGTCCACCCACCTATTCACTCATTCACTCACTTGCCCACCCACCTACTTACTCATTCACTCACTTACTTGTCCACCCACCTATTCACTCATTCACTCACTTGCCCACCCACCTACTTACTCATTCACTCACTTACTTGTCCACCCACCTACTCACTCATTCACTCCAAATCACCACCATCATCATCAGGGGTAAACACACAGCCATATATCACCTTAACCATCCAGAACTTATGAAAGCATCTTATAGACAGACAGAGATATCGATCGGTGTGCTGATATTAAACTATGACTGGAAAATAAATAAAAAATGTTGGCAAAAATTTTCAGAGACATGTTTATGTAAGACATCTTTTTATATGCATTTAAGTACACAGGTCAACATTAGTTCTTGGAATGTGTTTGATCTATAAATTATATTTCATATTAGTGTTTCAAGTGCGGAAAAAAAAGACAATATGGTTTATGTGACAAATGGAAAAAAAGCAGTAGGTAATTCCTGGAAGTAACTCAAAAGCTTGTGCAAACCCGTTCATTTTTTCATATGTGCTTATTTGATACTGGGTCACTGTAAATGCAAAGCTTTAGTGGAGAGAGTGGTTCCAAGAACGCAGATGCATGATGCAGACCCAGGATACCGTTTAAAGGGGGTGAGGTTAGAGAATCCGCCGAAGGGATTCAGGTCCTATCCACGTTGTCAGCATGTATGTCAAGGTATCAGCACTGACATCATAAGTTTAACAACGTTGACGGAATATGGATGAGCCTCCAGATAACAATTTCTACTTGCCATGGTCTAGGGAGTGATGTTCAGTATAGGGGCTGATGCAGTAATTGAGACAAAATGAAAAAAAAAAACTACTCTGCCTAAGTTTGCTGAAGTTCTATTATCTCCAGAAGCATTGTATACAAGTGAGTGCTGAATATTTTAATGCTTTTCTGCTACACAATGTTACCCTTGGTTATTACATTTTTTTTTCTTATGCAGAAACATTTCAGTAAACAGACACACATAGGACTGGAGCGAATTACTTCACAGATATATTTACACATGCCTCCAACACCTGTCAAGGCTGTGGTCTCACCTGCCATCGTCAAGTGTCTTCTACACACATCTGCATGCGTTGGGTTTTAAACACAGGAAGAAAGCCTCTTTTACAAAGGTTCGTCTAAAAACAGGGCATCGCAGAGCCTCAACGTACGTATCAAATGGTGTCTGCGCATTGACGACAGTGAAAAGGATCGACTTCATTCTGAAAAGAGCAATACACCGAAATGAAAGTCTGAATCCTCACTCATAAATGATGGTCTATGATCCAGGGTGTCCCTTGTCTTGTGCATTATGGGATGTTGTGTTTTTGGATGATGGATGCATAGATTAATATAAGAATGAGTGTTTCTTATATGTTTACTTCAGCTTTACACTATCACGCCCAATAAATGGTAAAAAAAAAAAACAGATGATCACCAATCCTTTTTGACTGGAACTCTTTAACAATTGACATCAACATCAAAGTTAACTGAAATCTCTCAATAGCACAGAAAAACATTTGAATGTGAGATTGAAAAGGGTCATCTCAAAATAATAGAGCTCTGCAAAGTGGGGGAACACGCCGCTCCAGTGACTTATATATCATAGCTGTTGGTGCTCATCCGAGTCGGGATTCACCCCAGCGCGTCTCTGATGGCCATGTGACCTCATTAAGTGGCTGCTCGCCATGCTGCCAAGTCGCTCGCTATCAGGACAGCCCTCACTCATCATTTCAGTGGGACACGCTCCAATTAGTGCTACCCCAAAGCGCAGTTCCATTTTTTTTAGGACAGAGCCCAAACCACAGCGTCAAAGCTCTATCGTGGGTCGATTACTGGGATGACTGATGTAGTTAGGTGTGTGTATAGTTAGTTAAATAACTATTTTAACCAGATTTCTTTGTAACGTTGCCGTGCATTAAAACACTGGAATGGCATCTTTTTATCAGTAATACATTAATAAAAATTTATAATAATAGAAAAAACGGCAAAGACAGATTTTCACATTTAATAAATGGTAAGTGCTGAAATTACACTACAAACACAAACATTTTTTTCTATTTTCTCATTTTAGGTATTTCTTTTTAATCATGAAACATTTATTACTTATGTGACCATTATTCTCCTGTTGACAACTGTGAAGAGTAATCAAAAAAACCCAATAATTTCATTTTAACCCACAAATGAAACCCAAAACTAGCAGATTTTAGAGGCAGAGTAATCTGCTAATACTCTGATAGACCTATAAATTATTCTGCCAAAAGTCAAATTATATACCAATAAATTTGTGCGAAGATTGTAAAGATTTAGGGTTAGGGATAAAGATTAAAGTTATGGTTTAGGCTTAGATGTTACATTTATGATTTAGAGTTACAGATTAAGGCTTAGGGGTTGGGTTTAGGGTTAGAGTTAGGGGATAGGATTAGGGATTAGTTTTAGAGGTTAGGGTTTAGGGTTAGAGTTAGGGGTAAGGATTATGGATTAGGTTTAGAGGTTAAGGTTTAGGGTTAGAGTTAGGGGTAAGGATTATGGATTAGGCTTAGAGGTTGGGTTTAGGGTTAGGGGTAGCATTATGGATTACGCTTAGAGGTTAGGGTTTATGGTTAGAGTTAGGGGTAAGGATTATGGCTTAGGTTTAGAGGTTTAGGGTTAGAGTTAGGGGTAAGGATTATGGATTAGGCTTAGAGGTTGGGTTTAGGGTTAGGGGTAAGGATTATGGATTAGGCTT